AGAGTTCTGTTTTGTTAAGGTACTGGCAGAGCCAGGCTATAAGTCCAGTGTAACTATCTTCTCCAAGGAAAACGTGAGCCTCTGGCAGCCCTGTGCAAAAGGGATTGAGAAAGAACAGCACAGGCAGGGGAGAGGAGAGCAGGGGTGGACACAAAAGAGCCACATGCCTTGGTATGCAGGCATTCCCTGTGGAGAGATCTCTGAGGAGATGCAGCCCAGGGAAAGCAAACTGTATCTGAGGGAAAGCTTCAAGAACATGTTACCAAATTGCAAATCTGCTGCCAAGCAAATAATTAGATAACTGCCCAGCTTATTTTTGAGGTTTCTTGCAAATGCAGCACAGATGATTTAATCTCATCCAAAATGTTACAATTAATCTGTGAGGCTGGCATGAATGAGAAGGCCAGAAGAAAAAAGAGCTGAATGTCAGTGTACTCTAGACTCATTTCTTGTGAGTCCTATATTTTCAGAGCAAAATTGAGAGGCTTTCAAGTAAGAAAAGGGAGGAAAGAAGCATGCAGTAAAACAAGCTTTTCCTTGGAGAACATTTCAGCTCTTGGCAGGGCAATATATCAAAATATTTTAATAACATGTTTCTTAAAATCACCATCTTCAAGTAGAATTATGAAGTTTGGCACAAGGAAGCTGGAGTTACAAGTACACTTTACCATCAGGAAGGAAAATGGGCAAGTATATAAATTTCCTAAGATATTAGAATCACTATCTTCTATAAGACAAATCATGAGAAAATATCCCAGTAGTGAGCAAAAAAGTTCCAGGCATTTCTCTCAACAAATTTTAAAGATTTAAACTGAAATTTTAAAAGAAAGGAGAAATTTTTAAAAACCAACCCAAACACCAACCATTCGTTGTCCATTGTTTGGTGCTGAAACACAAGAATTTTGCTTTGCGAGCACATCAAGCTGTGTCATTGCAATGGCTTTCTTACAGGCTCTGTGCTCTGAGTTGTATCATACTGGAGAAAATACTGTTCTCTGATCCTTTTTAGGCAAACCAGGGGAATGAATGACCTCTTGAACCCAATCTGGATCGTAGCAGCAGCCCTATCTGATTGCATGTTGGGCAGTCCTTGTGGCAGAGGGGTAGTGTCAGACTTTTACTGGAGGCTTACTTCTTTTAGAAAGTACAGGTATTTTTTAAACTTCATTACACGAAGTATTCCTACAGCTCTGAATACTTGAATCACTTGCAGTCATCCTGAAACACAGGTTCTGAAGCAGGCTGAACAAAAGGACTCTTAAAATGGCTCTTTACTACGACAAGAGTCTCTTCCTCAAAGTCGTCACCTCCGTGTGCCTGAGGACAATACCCAGACCTTGGTTTCTGGGCAATGTTTAACCCTTTTCTTATCTTAATTTGCCAAATACAAAACAATTAAGAATACCTTTGTTCACTCTGGAGCACGCGGCTAATCCTGCAAGCAGGAGATGCGATTCTCTTGAGCTGCCCTTTTGTTTAAGCGCTGTAGGCAATGCTGGGCAGCAGTGTAATTGAATTATTCAAAGCAGTTGAGCTACGCTGCACCGCCTCTGTGGGGGCAGACAGAAGGTGGGAGTCACAAGCAGTTCCTAAGCCACCTGTCCTCTTCCAGCAATCTTGTTCAGACAGGTATTAACAGTGTCGGGAAGTAGCAGTAACCAATTTTAGTGAGCACTAGAAAGCGCAAGAAAATGCTGAATGGGCCAGAGCATCCTCTGGCAGGAGAGAGAAATTGTCTCTGCAGTGAGAAGATCACGGGGGAGAGATGGGGAATACCGAGCAGGAGCAGGACACAGAGTGCAGCTCAGGGACAGCTGGCAGAGCAGCCAAGGGGGCTGAGTCCCTGCCCAGCTCTCAGGCTGTGCCGCGGGGAGTGACTGGCTGTGTGAATGGAGTTCAGCGATCTGCAGCTCCGCTGCGGTCAGAGGGGCAGGCAGGAGCCACGAGCCTGCATTTCCTTTCTGGGTACACCCCACAGCCCTCACGCTGGCCGGCGGCTGAGCGAGGGTGTGTCAGGCTCTGACCCTGTGCAGTGTTTAATTTCAGCATTGAGTGTTCCTTTGGAAAAAATTCTTACCATACGGATCCCACTGCAAAAATTATTTATTTTTTCAGCACAGCTGAAACAAGTACTTGTAAGTAAGCTGGTAATTCTCTTAACTTCGTCTCACTTGCTGAGCAAGACAGTGATACTGATCCTGTTCAAGTTTTGATGAATAAAGATGACAATCTCGAGTATCTGTTGTACCTCTGGAAACCTTGGCAAAACTCAGGTGTCATCCAGTTTACAAGTTGCCCCTGTTGCACCTTAAATGATTTTCCATCATCAGGGTGTAAGATCAGGTATTCAGGATTCAAAGCCCCCTCTGTAACATGTGCTTGTCATTTCTTGCTTTGTAAGGCAAAGCGAGAGACGTGGAAGTTTTACTTAGAGAGGCTGTGTTGAGGAGGGTCTGTGTCTGTGGCAATGCTCAGGCTCTGAACACTCCCACCACCAAACACTTGCCAAGCAAACCAAATACAGCTCGTTATAAATCAGAGAGTGACATGAAGCCTGATGTTTCCTACTCTTTTCCATCAGGCTTTTTGAATGGAAATTAATAATTATACAGGAAACTGCTCTGAAGTGATTAGTGTTTGCTGCTTATTTTTTCTTCCTTTTCCTTCTGAGAATATGGGAGTTAAAGCCACTGATGGGAAACCCTAAGTGAAAGCAGACATGCAGTTAACCTCTCCTCACAGAGAGAAGGGCTGTGCTGGAGGGTGTTATAAACTGTGTCTGCCTCTCACAGCTCCAGACCCGAGTTCCTCCTGCTTGGCTGCTAAAGCCCAGCTTGTTGTGCCCATCCCAGGCTGAGGGACGCAGCTGCGGCTTTCCCGTTTGCAGGCACAGGAGCCCGGCAGGGACAGCTGCACAGATGGCCACAGACAAGGTGCTGCCCTCATCTCTGCCTCCTACACGTAGGAGTAGGACTCACAGAAGATCCGAGCAGAGACCAGCTGGTCCAGCTTGATGCTTGCAAGCAAATAACACCCACCCACCCACTGATCCCTCACTGATCCCCCCAGCAGCTGGCACTTGCTCCTTACAGTGCTCACACACAGTGTGCAGAGGGGAAACTACAGAGAGACACTTAAGAAAGGTTTTATAGGAAGTGAGGGTGAGCAGGCAGTCTGTCCAGCCAGACTCTGCACACGATTCACCTCCTTTATACCCCTGTCTGTCTGATCCTCCTTCTGCTCCTTCCTGATCCCCCTCCTCTAATTATTGTCTCCCCTTTGCTCCTTCGCAATCCTCTTCCTCTAATGATTCCTTCCAAAGTTTTGCAGAGTCCTCCTCAAATACCCCAAACCCTCCTGTTCTTCTTGTTTCCCCTTCTTATCAGTTCCAAACTGCAGGTGACCCTTCCCAGAGCTCTTCAATGGGCCATCAGTCAGTAACCTGACACTTCTGCGTTTTGGCATTGTCTCTCTGGTCCCTTTTCCACCAGGTTTGCATCTGTGTGCCCTTGTTTATGGAATCCCCCTTAATTTATTGCCTCTGCCTTGAAAAGGTCAGGTGCTTGGTCAAAAGCCCTCATGAACCAGATGCTCCTGCCTTCCTCAAGGGATGCATGCAAGGGTTTCATCTCTAGCTTTCCTACTCTCTGGCATTAAAGGACAAGGTCTCTCAAGGTTATCAGTGAGATAGTCCAGACCCCATGGCTGGTGATTTTCCTTTGGCCTCTGGAATATTTGTCAATAGTGATGTTGCATTTTACAAGAATTTTAGTTTCATTTTTGAATATCAATCTTAAAAATATTCAGCTTATGCATAGAATCTAGTCAAAATTATAAATTCAGGGCTACGTGGCTTTTCCTTTTATACACAAAAATTCCTGCCAACCCCTTGCCAGTTTTAAAAGGACAAACTTGGAACAGAGGTTATGTAAAATTTCTACCTCAAGTATTTTTAATTTAATTTACTATAGTGGCTTTATAAGTAGGGATAAAGCACAGTTAAAATATTCATCTGTGCCAAGTTAGCTTTTATCTTAAAGTTCCTGTTCTGTGCAGATGTATGTATGTATGAAATAATGAAGAGCCCCAAAGCAACCATATAGGGAAGCACTGGAGTATTTTAATGTTATATTTTGATGATAAATTGTGGGATTTGGTGGCAAGCAAAGATGGATGGCAGTAAATAAATTATGCTTAGGGTCAGGGTAGACATACAGACCTTCTGACAGTATTTTCTTCATTGTTTCATCTGGAAGACAAATAATAAAACATGAAAAGTCAGCTGCTTGGTAGGAATTTCAGCTCAAATTTGCACAGTGCTTGAATATACAGGACTGGGTCCTTCCTCCTAATGATGCGTGTTCTCCAGCATCATCAAGACATTAACTGCAGGTAGTGGCCATGAGCTCAAGGTTACCTTGTATATCAGTGACACGAGGAAATTCCAGGCACCCCAATAGCAGCAACTTTGGGAGGGGATCAGGAGAGCACTGTGAAAGAAAACAAAGGTTCATGGATGCAGAACTTGGGGTAAATTCCAAACATTCCATGACCTCCTCCAATATTATCTTTCCTTATAGAGAAATAGAGATTATTTCTGCTACTTTGCCACTCAAAAATTGCCAGGAGCACTACAAGCTTTGCCAAGGAAGCGACGAGCCGGTTCGCCCTCACGGGGCTCGTTCCAGGCGCGGCGGGGAGCATCCCCAAGGAGCATCCCCTGAGGAGCATCTCCCCAGGGAGCATTCCCTGAGGAGCTTCCCCTGAGGAGCATTCCTGAGGAGCATTCCACGGGAGCGGCCGTGGCCCGGCAGCGCTGGGGCCGGGCTGCCGCTCGCTGAGCGCCCGGTACTGCGCATCCCGAAACCCTCCCGCGCTTCGGGGCCGGGCTGCTGCTGCTGCTGCTGCGGGGACAGACGCCCGCAGAGCCCTCAGAGCCCCCTCCGCCCTGCTGGGCCGTGCCGTGCCGTGCTCTCGGTCCCGCCCGCCGGGAGGGGCGGCCCCAACCCGGCCCCAGCCCGGTCCCGCCCCGCGGAGCGGCGCGGACAGAGACGCGGAGCGGCGGAACCCCGAGGAGCCGCCGAGATGCTGAGCTCGCCCTGGGCGCGTTTCTACTCCAACAGCTGCTGCCTCTGCTGCCATGTCCGCACCGGCACCATCATCCTCGGCGTGTGGTACCTGGTAAGCGGGGCCCGGCTCCGGGCGCTCGGCGCCGCTGCGGGGGCAGCCTGGGGGGCGGCTCCGTGGGTGGCGGTGCCGATCGCAGCGGCCCCGCTGCCCGGGCGGGTTTCGGAGGGAGCCGCGCTGTTGGAGCGGAGGAATGCGCAGGCAGCTCCGCGCCGCTGATCCCGGCGGGCACCGGCTCTGCGAAACTGGGGCACGGAGCGAGTGCGTGTGCAGGGGCCGGGGCAGCGGCAGGGGATGCAGGATACACTGCACGGGCAGGAACGGGAGGGCCTCAACCCAAAAGCTGCGAGGGGGTTGAGAATGTGATAAGTGAAGACCCGTGGGGTGAGTGTTTCCCCCCGAACTTCGGGGTGGTCTCAGGCCGGAGTGGCTGCAGCCCACGGGCCCCGCCGGTGCATTGGCTCCAGCCAGGCTGCCCGGCCCCTGGGCACGCCGCGCAGAAAATCATGTTTGATCGTCTCTGGTCGCTGCTTCATACAGCGTTCGGGTGTTCTTGTCACTGCTGTCCCTGTGTGGCAGGTCGTCGTTTGACAGTAGCGTTTGGTGTGCCTGTAGGGAGCTGAAGCCTTCCAGGCAGCTGTTCGCAGGTGCTGGAAAGACAGCTTGCTTCTGCCGGGATTACAGGACACGAGTGCGGAATTCACCCTGGGGACACCAGCGTTCCCAGCAGTACCCAAGGGCTGTTGGACACTCGGTTATTTGGCCCGGGGAGCGCGTTAAGCTCTCGGTTCCTCTCTGACCATTGTTTCCCCATCCTTTGCAATGTGGGGAAAGCGGTTTCCCAGAGCTGGTCCGGCTGTAGTCGCAGGCTGTTCAGAATAAAAAGAGCTGGTTGTTTGCTGCAGGTAACGTGGATGCACTTCTCAGCCTGCTCCGTCCCTCGGTGTGAGGAATCGATCCCCGTCTGATGGCGAGGCTGTGCAGAGCTGTTTGCCAAGCATCATTTTTCAAATGATTGCAGACGGAAGCAGATTAGACCCGGGCTCATTTGCTAACTACTGAAATTCCCCGCAGAAGCAAGTGAAAAATGCAGGGCTGCCTCCGCTGTAAGGCAGCTCATTAAATAAATTCAACCCGTGTAATAAAAAAGCTAGGTTGACATTTATGTCCTAGAAATCATATAAAATGTTCTATGTCCTGTAAAATATGTATTTCACCACTGAGAAAATGGTGCATTAGTTGAACCATTTCTTGCTCCTGGTTTAATAAAATGTGGTTAATAGCAACATCCACAGCTGTACAATACTGACAATATTGTAAAATATGCCTCGCTTTGCCTGGCTGCAATTAAGTTTTGCTAAGTTGTAATATGACCTGAAAGCTTTTGAACATTTCTTCTAGGGAGCTTGTTATTTCTTTCTGCCTTCAGCTGAACGAAGCCTTTTCACATTGGCTCCACAGAGAGAGGGATATAGATATTTTAGCTGTTCAGAGGACCTAAAGTTATTTGAGGAAGAGGGAGGTGCATCACCTGGGCTTGGATACAAAGAAAAGTCTGATAGCTTTTAAGACTGTTACCTAATCTGTTATAAACATTTAAATACCAGTGGGCGAATTTCACATATTTTGCAGTATTTTACTGCAAAATTTGGTCTTAAATTTCCTTTCCTATGAGCAGGTATTTCCTGATTTACAGTTCTTGATAGTTTTGCTTTCATAACTTTTTCAGGGTGGATTTCTAAATTACTTCAAACTGATACAGAACACATTTCTTCCTGTGCTTTTTTTGCTATTGCAAGTATTTGAATTTTAAATTTAATAATTAAAAATAGATATTTAGATGCATGTAGATAATAAATGCTAAGCCTTTTTGATTGCTTATTATGTTAGGAAACAAAAAGTAAGGAAGGAGTAGTTCCTTGAATGAATGGCCCTGGCTGATAAAGTCAAACACAAATAGATTTCTTTGGCTCAGAAGAGCAGTTATAGTTTGGTTACATAACCATATAACATAACATATAAACCCATATAAACCCATATCATGGTTTTGTTACCATGTGCTGTTAAGGGTTAACATAAAAATAGATGTTCTGGTGGCATTTTTTTTTTCCTCTGCATGTATTTTGGGTGGTTGCATTACTCCAAACCACACATGAGCCATGAGCATTACTTCAAAGTTCAAAAACCCTCTCTGAGTTTTTGCAACACCAACATCTATTCTACATATGCTTTGCCATTATTGCTTACAGGAAATTACTTGAGGAAAAATATCAACGTTGAGAATGAATAGTTTTCTTGTTGCTTTTTCATTTCTCACTACCTGTGAGGCATAAGTTTTATTAATTCTATGACAATGAATACAATGATTCAGTAGTAGAAGCATCTGAAGGAGGAAAAAGCAGTAGCTTTGAAGTTTTGGCAGACTTTTAACACAACATTTTCGCATGTTGAACCAGTTTTGAGTTAGCAGAATTTCAGGAGGCAGAATTTAATGTCTGAGTAAATGTGGAAAAAATAGTGGCTGAGATGGAATTCATCTTCCCATAGCAACCCTCCGGGTTCCACACTGAGCACCGGGAGTTGGAAAGGTGTTGATAACACACCAGGGTTTTGTCTGCTGCTGAGCAGTGCTGGAACAGCACCAGGGCTGTGTCTCAACATTCTGCAACCCCCCCACCAATAAGCTTTAAGTTTAATGTTTTAATTTAGTAGTAATGTTTAACTGGGTGTTTGGAGTCCCACAAATAGTGGGGAGAGTGGGAAGCTGAGTGCACGTGGAGTTGTCAATGCTGCTGTTGAGGGAGTTTTCCCACAAAAGTTTTCCCAAGGAGATTTCCCAACTCAAGCACAGCAGCCACAGAGACTTACAATGGTCTCATAAGGTGTCAATAACTGGGAAATAAATATTTAACTTTACTCTATTTTAGAACATGATGGATCTCAGAATACTAATGTTTCTATAGCTCTTGTGTTTCAGCAGTTTCTTCCTGGTAGAGCCATTGGTGCTCATCTACAGTAATATAACACGCTGCTGTGTGATTTTGCAATATAGCAAAATAATGCTATATACATAAAGTCACTGAGCACTGAGGTACTTCAGTGTAAAAAGTAACTTGTAAAGGTTGGAGTAGCCAGGGGAAATTTCCTGAAAAGAATGTCTAATGGGGTTGCAGAATAGCCCACACTTCAGGGACTAGTGTGCTGCCTTGGGGAGAAAAGCTTAACAAAGGGTGCTGCAATGTTAAATACAAACATTATGCTGAGGATTAAAATGTCAGCAATATGGCTGACTGGGGGTTAATGTTTATTTCAAACCTGAGGACCGGTTTGGTTTGGCTGGTTATTAATTTTTGAGTTTTTTGAGATGTCTGTATTATAACATGCCATCAGAAGTCACAGTAGTAATGCAGAAACAGTTTGGGGCACAAAAGTCTTACAAATGTTGTATTTAAAAAAAACCAAGACAAGTTAAACTAGAAAGTCACTTCCCATAGCTGAATTTTGTCATTGTGCTGTTCAGGACAATGACAATGCTGAAATGAGCCAACTTCAGTTGTGATCCCCAGTGGGCGCTGGAGTCTGGGGGAAACTGGCATTTCAGTTTCCAAGTGACCCAGTCAGTGCTGGTGAGTCAGAGTAACAACACCCCTGTCAGTGACAGCATTTATAAACACAGCGTGTCTTCTTCCTGAGGAAATGGACTCCACTTTCCTTGTCTAAAACACAAGGAGCAACATCAGATATGCTGACAGTGTCATGGAAGGGTTTTCCATTCTCCTGACAATGGGGTTTCTGCACACCCCGAGGATCCACTGACACCATCTGGGACAGCAGGAATTCTGATTATTTCTGATTGCTTTGGTGGGGAGAAGATGGAATTGTAAGGTACCAGTTTAAAAAAAACCCAGACAATAGGAGAAGGAGCCTTCTCGTTCGAGCTCTGTGTGCCCGGTGCCTCAGTGCAGCAGAGCCCTGGGCACAGGCTGCTCCTCCCCACAGCCCCCCAGGACCCTGCAGCATCACCCTGCTCCTCCCCGGGGTCCCACAGCCCCCCAGGACCCTGCAGCATCACCCTGAGCACCTCCAGCGCCCGAGCAGTGCTGCTGGTCCTGGGCAAGGCGCTCCTGCAGAATGTGCTGAGCATTCACCATTGCCACGCCTGGGGAGCCACTGCCCTCCCAGAGCTCCTGACAGAGAGGGGCTAAAAATAAAAACTAATGGGAGGCTGAGAACCTTTTATAACCACAGGTTATCGAGCTGTGTGTCCCTCACTGAAGGATGTGCAGTAAGAACATAAATAGAGTGAGCTGAAGTTTTTAGCCTAGGTGGGTTAAATGTTTGAGCTGCTATTTGTGGAAAGCTCGGCATGAATTGCTGGTTGTGACATTTCAGTTCTGGATTTTTTTAAAATATATTGTTGAAAGCATGTTTAATATCTATCTCTGTCCCAGTCTTCTTTTAGTAAAAGGATTGAATCCTAATGATGAAAAAATATACTGGTAGTAGACTTACATTGCAAAGGAAAAGAAAAGCACAACGGGCTATGGTCTCACTGATTTAAGGTTGAGCACCCTGACAAGATTGGTAGAGTGAGCTTGATCTGATGTCAAAAGGAGAGTGAAAATATATATTTTGCGACTAGGCCACATTTATGTCCTGGCATTTTTCAAGCCTCATGCAAAACAGCATGTATGGCAATGTGCTTAAATACCAGTTAGAAGATTTCAGTAATCTTGGCTTACTTGGCAGTGGGTAGAGATCAGGAGTGACTGCTCATGTAAACAAAATATCCCTGCCCTGGAGCCTTCCAAGCTGCTCTGTCTGCTCTTCTGCAGGCTTTACACTGTCTGAGACTACTCACATCACCAAACCTGTGCCTGAGGGTCCCTTGAACAGGCAGTGAAGGCCTTTTTAGGGAAAAGAAAGAAATTCTAAGAAGTTCTTGATTATTTTTAAACCTGGGAGAATCAGGAGATTTTGAAAACTGAAAAAAGAACTGAAGTTGTGAAAAGAGCAAAACGACACAATCAGAAAGCCTGATGTGTTATCTCAGT